CCGCCCCCCCCCCAAACACCAACCAAACCCCCCACCACAAAAAAAAAAAAAAAAAAAAAAAAAAAACCAAAAAACCCACAAAAAAAACACAAAAAAAAATATATAAAAAATCATTATTTTAACACGGCGCACGAACTTTTTCCTCAACCTAATAAATGCCAAAAAGTTTCGCAATCTAATTATTTAAGTCTTTAAGTTTGCGAGTAAAACGTACTAATTCTTCGTCATAGCCCGAGAAATTGATTGAAAACCTGCGTCTCACACTATGACTTTGAGAGTAAACTCAGCGGACAAAACTCGTTTTGTTACGAAGAGTCCAGCGTTTATACTGCGGGATTTGGGAGCCAAGTTACTGAAAGAAAGTAAGAAGAATGCAATGCTTTCAAAATGCAAGTCGTCACAGATTTTCTTGAAAACGAAAAAACAGAAAATGTTTTGGTGTTTATTCTTAAACCGAGAGTATTTATAATGAGTAAGCAATGATTGCTCATTATGCAGCATTAAATCAGCTCAGAAGTATTTCCTCTTCGTTCCCACATGCTGTTACCTTTATTATCATATGCCAAATGGTGCTGATTGTTGATCTTATTTCCAGAGCAAAAACTTTTGAATTTGGAAGTAAAAGATTCTAAAAAGCAGGGAGGAGAATTCCCTTCCCTACTCCCATTGTCGCGGCGTCCGTGTCGATTATTAAAGCAAAATTTTATTTTCAACGATAATCTTATAGGATAGACTTCTATCTTCGAACTAAGAAGTCATACAACTTCAACTTTGAATCAGACAAGAAGATATTGGCACACTATCATCCATGCAGTGTATTTCAATGAGAAGAGGGGCTGGAGTACTGTTCTCGTGATAACTTGCAATTCAAGTATCAATGGAGGCTGTTCGACTACTCATTTTCAAGAAGAAAGACTATTCTATTAGATTATCATGAGAAAAGATTAATTAATTAGAATTCTATGTATTGAATAGACTGTCTTTCTTTACACTGCGAAAAAAAGTGCCCTTTGGTGAAGGGTTTAGGGCACACGAAAGTGCCCTGTTTGTTGTTTTCACGGTGACTGTGGCACACTAAAATTTCACCAAAGGGCACCTTTTTTTTTGTAGTGTACTCCAAAGTACTCAAGTATCATTTACTACATTATGGAGCATATACTTTAAGTGAGCTTGTTTACGCATTTATAGACTGAAAAGAAGTGACTCATTGAGTACAATACGGCGGTAACAAGATTGAAAAACAAAGGACTTGCTGTATTCTAATTGTACGATCTCATTCTGTCTTGAAACTTGCGCATTTCACCATCAAATACGTTATTAACAACAAACAGTTTTCAACTATCAAGCACAAAACCTCATTTTCTTTTGAAAAACCATAGAGGAGTGTTTATAAGTTTTGTCTTCTGAAAAAGTATATGTCTTCATAATGTACTTTTCACTTTAATTCTAGAATTCTTTTTAATTTATCACTTGGCATACATATTTGTTTCGCCATAAAAGTAGGTTACTTACAAACAATACTTATACATACTTTGTGATACCAGAATCCAAAGATTTTGATATATCTGATATTGCGGTGTCAGCCACTGTTGCCATTTAGTGTTTTTAAATAAAACGAATACACAGAACAGATAGTTAGTGAATACTACTACTTCAATGGGTATGAAGGACGAAAGTTTTTTATTCTGTATATATCTATCGGTCGTCTTAATATTATAATAACGTTGTACGATTCAAGTCGATAGTTCTATCGATACTTTCTCTTTTTTTTTCAATTATCAAATAATGACGTCAATATGTTCGTGCCGTTGCACAGATTGCATATATTTATCAATTCTCTATTATTTCGAAAAAAACTTAACGATAATCGTGATTTTTATTCAATTTAAATGGGTGAACTTCAAGTTGGTCGTAAACTTAAATATTTTTGCTTGTTTTGAAAACAAATACTGACAAATTTCAACATATATCAACTCCAAACAGAGAAAGTTTAGCAATGGTAAACACAAATGCCCTTGGCATCCAGGTGAAAACGATCGGCGTGCTTGTGCGTTCTCAACAGCTGTAAAATCTTTTTGCAGTATTAAAAGCGTCTCTCTCTCTCTCTCTTTTTGACCATTGAATAATATTAAAAAATTGAATGTTATATTAATTCTAATAGAAATTTATTTATATGTTTTCGAAATCAGACTTCGACACAACTCTGATTTAAAGTTTTCTTTCATACCGATAAACTATATAGAAAGAAATCAGGAGAAAAAGTATTTACGATACCATTAAAAAGGACAATGTAACGCACGTGCTGCTACGTACTATAGAAATAATATCACATACAGTCATTCTTTTGTCTATTTAGCACAACATTTAAACAGAAACAAACTAAACTGTTCGTGATTCAAAAGATTAAAACATTATGACTATGAGTGCTGCACTCTTATTATAGTCTAGAATATTTGGCGGCATTTTGCCTTCCACAACTGGTGATAAAAAGCGAATTTAAAGCTTATATATCTACATTTGTACCTGATGCAAAATTGTCTTCTCATGAACCATCGCCAGCTTATGGCACTGATTAGACTAGAAAAACAGCCATTTTTTTGATTAAACGTGTCATTATCGCAATAATAATTATATGACTCTTGACTTCTACCTTTACATAAGGATAAATGTTAAGGTCATAAAAAAAAGCTTTTTTTCTCAGTATCGACGTGACAGATTTTAAAAAGAAGATTTATAGCTCAGAAGGAAAGACTAACTAGTTGGGGGATGAGTACAAAATGGAAAAACATGAAACTTCGGGCAATCACATCATGAGTTTCTTTAAAACTTGATATTTTCGACGAAGATCCTCATTTCGAACAGGAGCGAAAGATCCTAATGCGTACCATCGTTAAACAAGCGATACTTGTCTATTTTAAAATTCATTAATGCTGCTATATTCGACAATCATCTTATTAATAAAACAAAATCAGCTTCTTTATTTATTTTTTATAGTCTACTAGCCTTGAAAATGATATTAAAAAATAATAAACTCAGTACTGTCCGCTCATAAAAAGAATGATTTCCGACATTTTTTGAATAACTTTTTAACGATAAGAGCTAGAACCATGCAGTTTCCAGCATTCGATAGAGGAGATGATGGAAAGTGAAACTGTGGAAAACACAGGTCTACCATGGTAAATCCATCTGTACAAAGTCCGAAAGGTGTCCATTTCTAGGTAAAAAGCGGATTCTTAATTTTGAAATGTTGATTCTATGCTCTGAAGTATGCTCTTTAAAACTGCGCATCCCCCGTCTATCTCTCTCTTTTGGTTGAGGAGTTACAGGCATTTTCCGAGGACCTCCCTATCGGTGAAACTTCATGTTTCGGAGCTCCCAAAACACATGGAACATAGGTCATTACCCCTTCTGGCAATGTTCGTTTGTCGGAAAAAATTTAATAACCTCGTGAAAATCTATATTCGGTTAAAATAATCCACTTTTGCCTGTTTTCACGTAAAATTAGAAGATTCATAATTCACTCAAAATCGATTCAGACTATGTCAGAACACCAAGGTATACTCTATTTTATCTACACTAATATATGCAATTAAACGCAAATTTTGAAAATCAATAGAAACTACTTAGGCTTTTCAGCAGGTTTTCTTAAAGTCTTCAGTGTGTTAAACCAGTGTTAACAATAGTTCCATAAGTGATATGTCTTATCACTTATGGAACTATTGTTAACACTGGTTTAAATAATACTAAACATGAATCGAGTTCCATCGTTGGTGACGAGCACTACAATTGAGAGGAAAAGTAAAAATTCGGCTAAAAACTTTTTGTGCTAGAAGGATCGAAAGTTAACTGTTTATCTCGTAATTTTTTATGCTCTACACGACAGGAGTATTGAAAATTTTGCGGTTCTTATGTCATGTAATGGTGGAAAGAGCTAAATGGACATAACCATTACTCATGAGACCTAGGACTCTATTTTAAAGGCCTTTTTACTTGCGACATTTAGAAACATATATTTCCATGGATCACGAGGTGGATTCGGCAATTTATAGACTGCGAGTTTTAGCAGAGTATGTGGTCCTACTCTTCATAGTTTGTAGTTAATCTTCATAAGATAAGACCCAGCAGGGATAAAAGATATATACAGCCAACTATGGACACAGTCTACTCTAGTGAAAGTATTCATAATATGAGTACCACGTACTCACACATTTATACATGGGTAAAAGAACTGCTCCATGAGTAAAAAAATGCGAGTAAACTCATGGGTACTCATCGCATTTTTTGAGCAGAATACGACTTTGAGTACTCAGGGTTGAGTATAGTCACGGTAAGATGTTAGATTTTTAGCCCAACGATCTCTTGAGAATCAGAGGATCAGTTTACAATATTCAAAAGCATATAAAAAAACTGATCGGGATTCAAAACGTTATAATTTTTTAAGGAAAAGTCATGGAGACTTGCGCAACATCTCATTAAAACGAAGATTCGAAGTTCTTCAAAACTGGATTCAAACAAACTCTTGGAATGTTTCGCTCGGGCGTGATGAAGAAAAGGAGAACCCTCAGTTTGGTTTTTTTTAAAATGGTACCTTCCAATTATCTTGATATATTGTTCGAACTGAAAATTTCCAGGAGTTTGTTTAGATCTAACTTTGAAGAACTTCGAATCGCTTTAATGAGATGTTACACAACTTTCTACGAGTTTTCTTTAAAAAATTATAACGTTTTGAAGTTTCCTAAAAACGGTAACGCACTCAACTTTTCGGTAGCAGAGTTATGTGGAATGGTCATGGAGTAGTGTCGTGCATCGTCGTCTAATTTCAAATGTTCATTCAAAGATTTTTGTGTTTTCAACATTAAAACCACATTGATACTTATAGTTTACAGAAATAAATAAAATAAATAAAAGAGTTTAATAATCCGATCTGATGTTCAACTAAACACAGTTAAAATCCGATAATCCTAATGTCTGTAATTTTTTTGCAGCATTAACATCGTTTTTTAGTTCTTCATAATCTCGTTTTAATTTTGCTCGACGATTTTGAAACCACTAGATAAAAATGATGCCAGACAAAATATACATATATTTCTTCAAAATATTCTTTGTCTTACCGTTATTACTTGAGCAGCACTTAAACTGAGTTCACTAGCAATTTGATCACGATCAGTGGGAGTTAAATAACGTTGATATGCAAAACGTTTTTCTAGTGCATATATTTGATGAGCACTGAATGCCGTTCGATTTTTTCGACGTTTTCGTTTATGAATTTCATTTGTTAATTTAAACGATGTTTCAGAACCATTCGGACCTAAAAACAACATTATATCATAGATGTTATAATAGAGCTATATTTCAAGCATGAAAGTTGAATTTCTTTCGTATTTTGATCGTTCTCGAAATGAATACGGAGAGAAAAGGGTGGAGAAGGATGTGTACCAGTTAAACTCATCTGTATCAGCATACAGAGCATTCTGTGTTTGTTTCATTTTTACAGTTAATCAACATTTTATCCTTTTGCGATATTAAACAAGAAAGATTGTTGTTTTAATGAATGATATTGACATCCGCTGCTAGATTGATAGTACTTAAACAATTATAAATAATATAAGTGCATTGATTCGACGAAAGTCTATTATTAACTAACTGTTCTTCTTGTTTCTCTTTTTTGAATGCTAGGAAGATGAAACTCAAAGATACAGTCAATTTGTTTCTCTTCTATAGTTGACTACTTCAAACAGTCAAACCGAACGTGTGTTTTCACCATCTGTTTATTTGCCGATAATTAATTTGCACAACATCGATTAAACTGACTACTAAATAATAACATGTAACATATAATCACTTGTAAATTGTCTTGATGATATATCGACAGACGCAGAAACATGCATATGAAGAAAACAACAATTAATTTAACATTTCTGACAATTATAAACAAATGGTGAATCCTATTGGACAAATATATATGCAAAGATTAAATTATTGCAACTGAAAAGTATCAATATCCTAGTTTACATTTTTCAGCACTATAAATTCATGCACACATTTTGAATATTTCTGATATTACATTTTCCAACAATATCAAGAATAAACTGGCAAACATTGTCTTTGAATTGAAAAGCTTAGGAAACATCTTATGATCAAACTAATTCAGACAACTACACGAAGTCTGTTCAAATCATAACATTCTCAGAAATGAAATGTAGATAGATCATAATCGCCATTCTTGAATTGTAGATTCATTTTCTTTTTCTTACCGCTGATTTGTTACCTCTAGAAACAATGATCTCAATATTGGACAAACTTCGACAGTAAATTTCAACTATTCAGTACGTGGATGCCTTGATATAACGTACTTTGAAGTATAAATTAATTATTTAACTCTTATTTTTTATTTGGACAACTAGCAAACAAGCAAATAAACACATTCATTCATCACGTATTATCAAAAGAGATTAAATGTTGATCTATAGTTAAACAAGATTGAAAATATTTTGCTTCATTTAAAATAGAAATCATTTGTGACGCTTTATTACCTATCGATACAATTATTTATTGACAGATGAACTTCGTCGTGTGATTATTATCACATATATAACCTTTTTTCTAAAACCGTTTGATCTATTAGTCGGTTAACTGAAAATTTCATTTTAACTTATATACAAAGTTTAAAATTCAATTTTCCAGCATCTTTATTTTACTATAGTCTATCTACAATTTAAACTGCAAGGATTTCTATAGTAATTTAACGTCAGATTCTTTCCCAAATGTGAAGTTATTGAAAAAAAAACGAAAAATAATTTGAGAATTGCTCAATATAATAGAGAATAAAAGTGAAGGGGAAAAGATTCATTCCGAAGCAACGAAAAAAAATGTTTTCCATGTTTAATAGAAAAAATTTTTAAGAGTAATAATAATAATCAACATATACACATTTATATAACGATATATTGAAAGAAGCACCAATTTTGATGAATCAAAAAATTTATCATACACTCAACCGTGCATCGAGAAAACTGACGAATCAAGATAATTTGACATAATCGGTTTGTCCGCAAATTTTGCTACAGGAAATTCTGCCACATTTTTTCCTTATATTTTCACACGTTTTCAAATGTGTCTCTTGATATTCTTGATATTCCTGCAAATCTAGAAAATGCGACGAACGCAAAAACGTTTCAGAATGTTGAGTACAGTTTTTTCTAGTAAGGAAAACGCTGAAAAACTCTGATTTGGTGTCTGTTCGAAATACAGAGAGCCCAGCAGCGTAACCAGGATTTTTAGACCAATAGGCAAACTTCTATTGTGTCGGAAAAAAACGATGGGCAAGGTTTTTGTTGGAGAGCCAAAACATTTGTGGTCCAAAAAGAACACAAAAAAATGAAATGAGGTTTTTTTAATCAAACTCAAATTTTTACTATCTACAAACTCAAATACATTTACTATCTAATTCAAAAATAAACAAATAATTCTGTCTATCCACACTCTTACATATCTTACTAAACGTTATACGAAAAAAACTTCATGTGTATATCTCCCAAGTAAAATTTCAATGGGCAAATCTCCAAATGAAATGGGCAATTGCCCATTTGCCCCCTAGAGAACCTACAACATAGAAAAAACTGATAGAATTTCATTCTTGTACTAAAGTTTCGTGAACAAGCTAAGCTATAAAGCAAAAACACAGCAAGAGAGTCTGTGTTTTACTTGAGAATAGGGATGCACCAAATCCTGCGACTATGTCTCAAAGGTTGCATATTTTTGATATTTAAAACCCTAAACTTTAGCAAACTTTTGTGTCAGACATAACCAGTTTT